AGCAGAAATTGGAGAGCCCTGCTCCAAGCATCACTCCTGCAGAGCATCACCTACTGCAGACAATGCCCTTCAGATAAACCTCCACAGTTTGAGCAGACACTAAGGCAGTCTGACGCCCAACATTGGGTAGCTCTACCGTACAAAAGCGACCACAACCATGCAACCACGACAAGTTGTAACAACGGTAGACTGTGCTTTGAACACGGCAAGCCGAGAAGACATCATATGTGGCAAGCAGAGAAGACAACATATGTGTTCCAAATTGGAAGCAGAGCTTATCTGTTGACGACTGGAGGCACAGAGCTGACACTATTGACGAAAGACAATATACGTACAACACAATGCCAAATGTGGGTGACTCCCAAACAATCTTCAAGAATTTGAACACAAGCCCTTTGAAGATATCTGATTTCTCCCGTGGATGCTCTGCGCGATTACTCATCGAAGAGTCGCTCCTATCTCATCCGGCTCCCAGCTCATGTGACACGTCAACTGTGCCACAGGCTCCCAGGAATGATTCTTTCGAGAAGCTCAGCTACCATCAGAGACTATGGTATCGTCGTTGCAAAAAAGAAGTAATGAAGTATTTTAACTTTCCTAACTGTATCATCAAACTTCAAACCGAAAGGGAATGCTGAACTATATCGTAGTAGTGCAACATGACAATAAGAACCGATGTTTTCAAACACTGTTACGAGTAATGCAGGTACATCATGGTCATGGTGGACTGGTGTTGTTGTTCTCCACCTACACACAAGCCAGCAATGTACTTAAGAGGCCCGTTCATGCTGCATGGACCAGACCTCTTTCATGCTTTTTCTGGGGCGGGGCAGGATGTTAAAAATATAATAAACGCAGCCAACCAGTTAAGGCAAAAAAGAAGTAGACGTAGTTCGATAATAGAAATGATGACTTCTGGCTGAGTTATTCCGCTCCACCTAACATTTTAGCGTCCGCATCTAAGTTTGTTTTGTTTCAGAACTTGGAAATCATAAATTGAGTAATGTAAGTAGTCTTCCTTGAGCTTCTTAACATGCTCCCAGCATCTGTCTTACATGTTACATGTATAAAGGATATGTTTTCTCCACGAAAGCCTTCTAGGACAGAAAACTGAGTTAGCTGGTGCCTATTCATAACAAAGAAACACAGGAGAATAAGCAAGACAACACAAGCATCATTTGTGTTGTTTTGATCCATTCTCTTATGCCCGTATTTGCATGCCTTTCGTTTATGACAAAATCTTTAAGCTAGTCGCTAGACATATGCTGTTTTGTACTACCTATTGTTAATAAAATTACAATATTAGATGTCTGGGGCCTCATTTTGCAGTTTTCTCGCACTCCTTCAGCCAGTGTAAACCAGAAATACAAGTTTTCTCGCTGTAGCCTATAGGACTATGGTACTGCTCATTTCACCACTGGCAGGGGTTCTAGCAGTATACCTGAAGTGTGGGGGCAACGTTTGTGGGCAGTGATATATATATATTGTAACGAGCGTGTTCTCCAGAAGAGTTCCAGCAAGAGACGCGCCAAAGCAAGCAACACAGCTGCAGCACAGAAAACAGGAGGCCGAGAGCGCAACACACGAACATCGTCGTCTCTTTGGCTGGTCGACGTCAAAAGAGCCACGAAAGCGTTCAAGCAGTTGTACATCTTTTGTACGCTGGACTGGCGTAAGCGTGTTATCGATGCTACGCAGGAGGATGTCTTGGACAGAGGAGGTGGTAGCCGCGGCAGAAGTGATGGCATTTATCGTCAACCGTGTCTTTTCAGACGTTGCATCCAAAGGGAAGATGGCGTCAAAACTGTCTAAATGTCCAACACATTCGCCGCGTAACAGAGTTGCCGAACAAGGAAAGGGATTGTACGCATAGACCACACCAGCACCATTCACAAGGGTGATGACGGTAAAAGAAAGTATGAGGTTTCATCAGCCTGCATAGTCTTCAGACGGTGTAAACAGGGCGGTCGAATCACAAGAGTTAGAGGAAACGGACAACAAGGGGGCAGAGAATGGAGAAATGATGGCGTTAGCAGCGACAACCAACTTAAGCACCTGGCTGGGGACGTCGACAACTGTGGTACTGAAAAGGGACAAATTGAGTCGCGCTCCAGCGCAGTCAACGACTGCATCATACGTAGAGAGGAAGCCCCAAACGAGGATTAGAATGGAACGCATGCGGTAGGACAACGAATTCCACAACGTAGAATGCGTCATTGATAAAAAAGACAAGCCATGCACGCCGCCAAAGGCGAGCTCGCTGCGAGCTCGCCGTTCGTTATAAAAGATCAGAAACGGGTATCGTCACTTTCTGCAGTTTGCGTCAAAAAAGTTCACTTAAAACAGAAACGACAGCTTCTGTGTCGACAAGAGCGTTTGTCGCGACACCATCAATAATAACAGGGATTTCAATTGGAGGCGAAAGAGGGGGGCCTTGAAATTCTCGACGAGGGCGCAGTTCCTGTCTCAGGAACTGCGGCTCTTAGTTTCCCTCTTGTGCGGGGTTGGAACAGCGGATCATGGGAAAAATGGAGTGGCACAGGAGAGGAGGAGATTAACGTGAGGGGGAACTGGCACGGCACGAATAAGCACCCGATGAGTCGGCAGGTATGGTCTGCTGGCTGCTGCAGCATGTAGTTGAGGTTGGGGATGTCATCGTTGGCATATAGTGTACGGTGATGACGAGTGATGTGCAACATTGCAAGGAATACCGCAGGCGTAGCAGATGGGCCTATTGTCTAGAGTGTGCCAAGGGTTGTGAGGTGGTCCAGGAGATGACAGGGGTTGCGCGGGAACAGGGTGTATTGGGTGACCAAGGCGTGACAGCAAGTAGAAGTTGTTGACTGGGGCATATGGTGGTGGCGTCTGTCGAGAATAGGAACGGACAATGGCCTTAGCATAGATGTGAGGCGCCGCAAGCTTCGTTGGTGGTACAGGAGGTGGGAGCGCCTCACGAACTTGAAACTGAACGACACGACGGAGCGAGTGATCCAATGCCGTGAGACTCTCGGTGACAGATATGACAATGGAGAGCTGACGAGCCACTTGCTCACGAATTTATTGCTTAATTTGCGGCAGCAAAGTGGAATATTCAGCGCCAGTGCTCCTAGCTTCCAAATATGAGAATTCCACTGTGGGAATTCCGGCGCAATGGGTAGAAAGGCGCTATTTGCGCAGCTAGTCAAAGCTTTGGCACAGTTCTATGAGCTGCGCTACTGTCTGTGGGCACTCAGCTACCAGCGTATGAAATGCATCATCATCATCTATCCTTTTCGGTATGTGCTTATTTTGTCCGACTCCACCATCAGTGCCTTCACCCACTTACAGAGGTCGATGACGTCCTCAATATAACTTGTAAAAGTCTCACCCTTCCTTTGGGTTTCGCCACGGAGGCGATGTTCAGCGTGAGGCTTGCGCAAGCCAGGCCGATCGAAGAATGAAGAGATGATTTGCTTGAATGCCTACCAGGTGGTGAACTCGGCTTCATGGTTGTTGTACCATAGCTTGACCCCATCAGTTAGGTAAAAGCTGACGTGCATCAATTTAGAAGGGTCATACCATTCGTTATGACCGCTAACACGCTCAAACTCTACCAGCCAGTCCTCGACGTCAAGTTCGTAGTGTGCAGCTGAACATTGGAGGGTCATGTCGAGGAAGTACCCTAGCACACATGACCGACGTGGGCGTAGGTGGTGCTTGGGAAGGAGTGGCGTCCTCGGCCATTTCAGAGGCAGACGGCAAAGTCCGGTTGCGGAACTCCAGGACGAGGAAGGGAACTACCCAGCACCTTCACCAAGTGTAACAAGCATGTTCTTCGGAAGAGTTTAAGCAAGAGACGTGCCAGGGCAAGCAAAGACAGCTGTAGCACAGAAGAGAGGAGGCCGAGAGAGCGACACACGAACGTCATCTTTTCTCTCATTGGCACAAAACTGGCACATGCTAATATATATCTATATATTTAGTGGGAATGTTCAGTGGGTCTCAAACACAAATACATATATATATATATATATATATATATATATATATATATATATATATATATATATATATAGAAAGAGAGAGAGATGGGGGCATTAATGCATATATGTTTTTGCTAAGGCAAGAGAACGAGGGGAAGGGGTCGTAGCAACTGTTAGCGGGGGGCACGCCCCCCTGGTTTCCAACCTGTAAGAGAGGTGCCCCCCCACCCCCCGTTCCAGAGTCCCTGACCACTGGAGTAACAAATCACAATGTGCATCAATGTCGCCAACTAAAACAAAGGGTGTATACATAGTTTGTAAAGTTCTCTGAGAGTGATATTTGTATGGCAAAAGATGCTAAGTGAGCAGACAGTAACAATTTCAAACAACAAGATGTTAATAGCCTCGAAAGGGCATTCAGCGCAACTTCAGAAACATGTACGACACCTAGCAGCGAATCCTCCAGAGTGTCAATAAGAGTGTTCGCAGTGCTTTAAAAAAAAAAAACTTTTGAAATATTGGGCCTACATTGTGATCATACAAGCAAAGCTTTCTATGGGAAGTTAGTATGGCTTATAAGTTAGCTACATTGCATATAAACGCTCTCCATGAATAATAATCATATTAAAGAAAAATGAATAGGAGCTACGAAAGCAACTGTTTTTGTTGACTAGACCTTAGGTGAATGCTTTTCATATTAGGGCATTATTGAGTGCTCTATCCCTTTTTGTACCACTAAAAGAGTGCAGCTCATTCGGTGCTCATACTGGAATTATTGCATCCACTTCTAGAGCTCATTCGGTGCTCATACTGGAATTATTGCATCCACTTCTATCACTTGTTCAGAGGACGGAGAATCGGGCCCCAGGACGTGTCTCAGGCCTTCATGTGCTGGGTCCCTTCAAGACTGGCAGGCACTACAAAAAAAAAATAGCACCACAGGAGATGGGACTCCTGTGTGTGGTCTTGACTGACTCTTTTGTGGCGCCATCTATCCTTAGTTTTTGGAAATACTATCCAGATAGGCAAGAGACTCACTTGCATTGCATGCCAGCCTGTGGCAATCCCCTAGTTGGCAGTATGCCATCTGGCGGTCTGTGGGACTCTGGATATGGGCGCCGTTCTGCGGGAAGTGGCCATCCCCAGGGCAACAGCCTTTCTCTGGGCAGCATGGTATTGACCTGCAAAGAAATACAATGCACATTTTGGCATCTACATAAAGCAGTCAATTTAAACTTATGACCCAAGTTTGCTCGCTTCTTCGAGATAATGCACTACGGTATACTCTTGGTGGCTCCCTATACACCGAAACATTGGTGAAAAACTATCAAAGGTTTTACTTTCCTTATAAAAAGAATTGCCATGCATTTATGTTTTGAATTTCATGTTTGTTTACATCAAATGTACTTGCCATGCACCACCCTATCTCTTTTAACAAGGGTCGTACCAGATTTTTAAGAGAAAATTCGTTATATTTTAAGGCATCCTCACTCATTTTTCAAAGGCTAAAAAACAGCATCCAAATGAGCAATTTTTGTTTTATTATTTTTACAACTGCAATGTTTCAAACTCCAACTAAATTTATTGCACTTATAGATCGGAGCTCAAGTGAATAGTCATTATCATGCCCAAAATACTTCGTAATATCAGAAAGTTTGTGAAACCAACAAAGTAATTTTTGAGTTCTACGAAAACTAAGATTGCATTGTAGAAGGACCTGAAATCTACCACACCATTGTTCTTGTCGCTAACCCACACATGCTCGTGTGAAAAGTCTATTCTGGTGTACCAAACACTAAGCCGCACAAATGTGGTCTAGACGATACAGGCCAGGTAGACAGTCATGTGAAATATGATATGCAGCCAAAATGAAGTCACGCACAGTGGCATGCCAGCTTTTTCGTGAGTGTGGTGGGAGAAGGGGGGCAAGCCTCTTGTATAAATATATATATGGGAGAAAGACGTTGAATGGTTCCACTAAGAAATGCAGTCAAAAAAGACAACATCAAACGTACAAAAAACTTTTACCAACGTTTTGGCAGGAGGGCCTGCCTTTGTCAGAGTTTTATCCTCACAAAGGCAGGCACTCTTCCTCTTGCCATAGAGTCGGTAAAAACTGCATTTTATACATTTGTTTGTCGTCTCCATTTCTGTTTCTAACTATATATATATATATATATATTGTGGGAAACGAGAGCGCCCTCCTACCTGGCGCCTCGTTCCTAGCTGCCGCACGCGTGCCGACAGCGTAGCCCGGGTGCGCATAAGCGCTGGCATCCGCCTAGATGGCTGCCAAGGCGCCTCTTGGTCTGGGCCAGCCAACCGTCGGCTTCTTCCCGCGCTGGCGTGTCCGGGCACGCTACGCTGGTGCGCTGCGCGGGCCTACGTCACAACGCAGCGCCATTTCCCATTGGGCGCACGTGACATCCTCTTCTCCTACGAGCTGTGTTGCGCTCGACGATTCGCTCGTCGTGGCAGATGCTCTCAGGCCTCCACGAGAGGTTGACGCGCTGCTTAGCAGGCGGCTTCTCGTTCGAGCATTCGACTTCGGCCCTTGTGCGGGAGTCGTAGCGCCCTAGGCAAGCGTACTTGCTCGGTCTTGCGGAGTTCCCTATGCGGCCAGCAAGCCCGTGAGTGTCGCACTGTGCTGCATCTTGACTTAATAAACCCGTTGTTGTTATCCTGCCTCGTGCGTGGTTTCTGCGCCGTGCCGGAGAAAACGACGGACCCGGCCGCACCGTCTTCGCACGCAGCGGCAGTAGGGGACGTCGCATCCCTACACGGTTGCGCATAGTAGGTAAGCCTTGTGCAAACCTATCTCCACAATATATATATATATATATATATATATATATATATATATATAGTAATATTTCAATAAGCCAGTTTGTGTTCGTGAAGATATGGGATATAACACAACGGGAGCGTTGTCAACAAGGATAAATATATTTCCCAAGAATTTTGGGTGGTGTCCTCCCTTCGTCAGGGGGTGATATATATATATATATATATATATATATATATATATATAGAGAGAGAGAGAGAGAGAGAGAGAGAGAGAGAAAAATCACACGGACCCCGGTAGAATAAAAAAATAGTAAATAAAGACTTTCGTTTTTCGTTGATTTCGCACTATATTTCCACCAACGTTTCGTCTGGTGAGTCAGACTTCGTCAATGTAACAAGTATAATGAGGTAGGTTTCTTTATAAGCACGCCTAAATGAGATATGTTTGCAGGGGTTATTGATATCAAGATTGACAATTAAAAACACGGTCACTGACATGCAACAAAGATTCATGCACGCACAATGGTTACTCATGGCAGTAAAGTAAGATTACGAACAATAAGATATATTACACACAAAGTTGATATGGCATTACACAGTAGTGATGTGGCAGTAATAATAAATTGCATGTCCCATTGAGGCAAAAAAAAAAGGGGGGGGGGGGGGGATGACGTAACATATACACTTAACCTAACTTTTTGTAGTAACGTAGTAACATGCTAGCGTTGTACTGAATATTGAGATCGCAAACAGTAAATTGGCACACACCATTAAGATCTTATCTTCAGATCAATTGTTCTTTTTCTTTTTAGCTTCCCCTCAACCACACTTCAAAGACGTTAAGATTGGTTGTTTTTTTTTGTGTGTGTGTGGCACAAGGGCCATTTGATGGCCAAAGAGTACCAGTTCATGGGTCTAGAGATGTGGACAATGATTGTGATAAGCGGCTGTATAAGGGCATTAAAATGTCTCACGCTAAGGCGGGTAAAAACATGAAAGCAATAAATTCATGACCATGTCGTGAAAGGTGTATTGTCGATGATGCGAGTTTGTGACAACAACAAAAACATGGTGGACATGTAAGGCATTAGCACGCCTCATTTGTTCACACCCTTGCATCTAAAGGCCATTAGGCAAGTGCTTTGTTGAGTGTAGACATCACACTGAAGACTTCCCTGGAGAGGTCATGCTCCGGGATGCCTGGATATATGATATGAAAGGTACGAACTTCTTTCAAAACAGCTAACAACGATTTATGTGTGAAAAGTGGCTCCCTATCGACAAACATTGCAGGATGAAGTGGTATCTATTGTGGGTAGGGTAATGGAAACTGTTGTCTTCTCGGCATGTCTGATTGTTTACATTGGACTAAAATGTGAAGTACGGTGAGTGCTTCTCCGCATCTATCACACAACGGTGGGTCGCCACCAGACAAAAGAAATGAATGTGTTGTGTGTGTAAGTCCTGATCTTAACCATGTAATTATTACTTCTGTGAGGTGTTATTTTGATACCAGCAGCCAATGACCAAGTTTCGGCTTGATAACATGCAGTTTATTACTTGTGTGTGTGTCTCATGTGCTCTGCCAATAACAATAGAGCTTTCCTTTTGGAAAACGCTTCAAGTCAAGTGCAGGAATAGGTATCGACGTATTGGTAGTGGTTTTGTTGGCGGATCCAACTAGCTGGTCAACCAAAACGTTGCCTTGTATTTCACGGTGCCCTGGCACCCAGCAGACTACAACATGCTGTTTGAATGAGTAGACTGTGCATAAAAGTGAGTAAAGCGAAACAAGGACGGGGTTTTTGTGCTTTTTAGGAGTTTTCAGAGCATTTATTTTACTACACTTAAGGAATCTGTGTATATCATTGCCTTCTGTAGGTTTATTTGTTTAATGTGTTCAACGGCCGCAAGTATTGCATAAGCTTCGCCGGTGAAAATGCTTGCATCAGAGTGCAGGATGCCGGCTTCCGAAAAGAATGGGCCGATGGCTGCGTACGAGACAGAAGTGTTGGACTTCGAAGCATCCGTAAAGAACTCAGGACATGTGTATTTATGTTGCAGTTCTAGGAAGTGTGTCTGAATATGTGCAATAGGCACGTTCTTTTAAGAAAAACACATCGCAGTCTATCGCTTGCCACTACCATGGTGGCAGGCATGCTGCGGGAGCCATCAAATGGTGTTCAAGTGCCACACTGGTTTCCTTCGCTAGGCCCCTAACACGCAGTGAGTAGGGCTGTCTCATAGAAGGCCGGTTTTCAAACACAGTAGAACTTGACATGTCATTATTTGTAGAATGTAAAGAGAGTGCTCCTTGTCTGTGTTCAATATAGATTAATATTTAAAAGACACGTAACATCTCTGTAGGTGGAGCGACCATTCGTTGAATTCCACGTACAGGCTTTCCATGGGGCTAGTGCGAAAAATGCCCGTACAGAGGCGGATGCCTAGATGATGAACAGGGTCAAGCATTTTTAGGGCAGTAGGTGTCGCAGTCTGATATGCTATTGCCCCACAGTCTAGGCAGGTGCATATGAGGCTTTTATATAAATTCATTGAACACTTCTTGTCCCTTTCCCACGTAGTGCGTGACAACGCTTTTAGAACGTTCATTGCTTTTATGCACTTGTTTTTTAATATATCATGTGTGGTATAAAGGTTAGCTTGGTGTCCAAGATTAGGCCTGAGAATTTGTGTTCAGTATTAACAGAAAGACGTTGCCCATGCAGTTGAACATCGGGTTCGGAATGAATGCCTCTCTACCAGAAAACAAGACACACATGCTTTTCTGTGCATCAAGATGGAACCCATTTTCTTCTGCCCAATTGCAGACTTTTTTCAAACCAAGCTGAACCTGCCTCTCACGATAATTATAGCGCGAGAACAAAACGACGACACAGAGACAACAAGGACACGAAGGACTTCTTGTCTCTGTACCGTCGTTTTGTTCTCGCGCTACGACTATCGTCATGCCATACCAACTAGCCCAAGCTGCCACACTGCCGCTCACACATGGCCGGATTACAAGATTTGAAACCAAGCTGGACATCATCGACATATGTGCAATAAAACATATTGCAAGGGATGAACAAGCGCTAAGAATTCATTTTGATAATAAAAAGTGTGTAACTAAGTACAACACCTTGCGGCACTTTTATTTATTTATTTATGTATTTATTTATTTATTTTACCCTCAGGGTACACAGTACCTTTCAGAGGAGAAGGGCATTCACAACAATGAAAAAAAACAAGGATTACAAAGCAAATGGCATAAAAATGTTGTCACTTATTGGGGTAGAAAAATTATTACTCCTAACAACTCACATCATAATAAAGCAAATGATAACACTAATTTTATATTTATTACATGGTGAAGGCACAAAGCAATACAAAT